AAACACGGATTGGTCCGAAAAACTCCCTGTTTAACCAAGGCGCAAGGACCACGAAAGTGTTTTGTAAGTTGCTGAACGATAGGATAGTGGGAGTATTGGAGAAGGAACGTAGCATTAGTGAGGGCCAGGCAGGTTTCCGACAGAAGAGGGGGTGCGTAGACCACGCATTCACGGTAGGGAGAATCATCCAAGGTAGAAAGAGGGCGGGAAAGCCGACGTACTGCTTCTTCCTTGACGTGAAAAAGGTATACGATACCGTATGGAGAAATGGGCTGTGGAAACAATTGTCCAACTACGGGATCAAGGGGGAAATGTGGAGAGTGCTGAAGAAGATGACAGAGTGTACGAAAAGCGCGGTCATGCTAGACGGAGAACTGTCTAAGTTCTTCGACATTGAGCAGGGGGTCCCACAAGGTTGCACGCTGTCCCCAACATTGTTCCAGGTGTTCATCAACGATCTGTTGGAAGTCGTAGAGGCAGTCCGGAAGGGAGTAAAAGTAGGGGACACGGAAACTTCGGTGTCAGGAATGCTGTTTGCGGATGATTTTGTTGGTATGTCGGACACCCCTGAGGGACTGCAACTACAAATTGACGCGGCGAAGAAGTTTACTGATAAATGGAGATTGTCTGCCAACATTAAGAAGAGTGCCGTCATGGTATGCAACGAGGACAGGGAGGAACCAGTAGAACATAGATGGAAGTGGGAGATCGAGGAGATTGCAGTAGTGGACCAGTACACATACCTCGGAGTAGAGATCGCAAACGACTGCTCGTGGAATGCACACATGTCCAACGTAGCGGAAAAGGGCAAAGCACGAGCAAGGAAGCTGCACCCAATACTCGCAAACCGGCACCTCGATACACGCATCAAATTGGCGGTTTTGAAGAGCGTAATCGTACCGCCGCTAGAGTACGCCGGAGAAGTAAATGAAGGAAATAAGAAGGTAGTGAAAGAACTAGAGGCGGCACAGATAAAATCAGCGAAAATCATTCTAGGATGCTCCAAGCGCACAAGTAATGCAGCCGTAAGGGCAGAAGTGGGGATCCAATCCCTACGGTCGGGAAGAGACGCAAGGAAGCTGACATGGCAGTATCGCATGTGCGGGATGGGAGAGGAGAGGTTGCCGAGAATAGTATGGGAGGCGAAGTGGGCAAACAAAAAGAGGGGTAGACAACCCACGGAATGGGTCAAGGTTGTAGAGGACGTATGGAAGGGGTTAGACATCGACGAAGATGAAACGCTGGAAACGGAGGGTCTACAGGGGTTCAAGGAGAAGATATCTGTTGCTTGTGCCGAGAGAGAAGAACAGAATCTAAGGAAAGAAACCAAGGATAAGGAGGGTCTAGAAGTGCACGGAATGTTGAAAGAAGGAATAGGGTTCAAGGATTACCTACATGGACCAATGGATGCAGGGACAAAGCTTAAGGTCAAATTCAGGACCGGGGACATAGGCCTTCGAGAACGTCGACGAAGACATAGAGCGGTAGACGACGAAGACGACAAGTTCAAATGTGATTGCGGCTTCGAGTGCGAAGACCGTGTTCATGTAGTCGCGGAATGTCCGTGGTACGAAGAGGAGAGGGAAGTGTACATGACTGAGCCGGGAAAAATACAAGGCACGTACAGGGAGATGTTTAAGGCGTGGAATAGAGAGGAGAGGACGGTAGCTGTACTGGGGAGTAGGAAGTGGTTTGAAAAGGCGGGAAGGGATATCGTTAGGATAGACAGACTAGGGAAGACATTTTTGAGCCACCTTTGGCACAGTAGGAAGGAACGATTGGCCATCGGTGATCGGTCCTGTGGGAACAATGCTCCGTCCTCTCGAGGACGCGTGGTCAATGGTCTAACCGCTAAGACATGCAAAACATAAGAGTACGCCCCCCCCCCCCCCCCCCCCCGTGAGTCGGGGGGTGGGCGCCATGAAGGGGGGGGAAAAACCGGAAGTTTCCTAAAAAAAACTGGGAGGGGTTAAGGACCCCCTCCAAAAAATCCCCGAGGGGGGAAAAATTCCCCTCCTGCCCCCGGAGGGCTTTTTGAAGCTGGGAAACCACCCCCCCCAGGGGGTTTTGCTTTTTTGGCCCCCCGGCACCCGGAAAAATCTTTTAGCGAGGGGGGGGGGCAAACGGAACGAAGCCTGGTTTATTCGGGGGAACCGGAACGAGCTCCTGCAAAAATATTTTCGCCAAGGGGCGCCCAAGGGGGCCCAACTTTTTCCCAAGGGGAAGAACAAAAAAGGCTGCTTCGTGTTTTTTCAACAAAACCAAGCCCTTTGGGGGGGTAAAGGTTTTTTTTTTTCTTTTTTTTAGGGGGCGAAAACGAATTTTTTTTTT